AGCCTAAGTGCCCATCAACTGAAGAATGGATAAACAAACTGTGGTACATACACACAATGGATTATGCTACCATGAAGAACAAGGAAGCTGTAAGCTATCACATAACATGGATGAACCTTGAGGACATTATGTTGAGTGAAATTAGTCAGTCACAAAAAGGAGAAATATTGCATAGGACCACTACTGTAAAAAAACTAAGAAAAAGATCTCATACTAAAGGGGGTGGGGTATGTGGGAGATGGAGAGAGGAGAGGGAAGGGAAGATGGAGCACAGGGTAGGGAATAGACACAGGATACTTTGGATGCTGGGAGGGGGGCAATACACAAGGGGAATGGAAGAACAAGGCGAATGGGAAAACAATTAGACAGGTCTCAATGGGCTAAGTGGGACAGAGGTAAATAATGATATACGTACAACCTTGGAACAACAGGGCTCTGGGATACAGGGATTGAGACACGGTTGGAATAAGCAAAAGGGGGTAAATAATGTTAAGATGCTTGGCTGTCTTTTGAATCTTGGTTTCCCTTGCATACCATTATAAAATAGACACTTCAGTGGGAGAGAAAGGAATAGCCAGAAATATCACTATAGAAAGCTTGTAAGTCTTTCTTCTTTCTACCTGTAACTGATTGGAATACTTAAAATGGGGCTACAACATGCCCAGTGAAGGAGGCTTCCTATGGAGCTTCTGCATTACGTAAGACCATAGGTGGAATCCTGAACCCCATCCTGAATCTTCTGAGGTGGGAAATTTCAATGTGAAAGGACAAGCAAAGCAGCCTGGAGTGGCTAGAAGACCAGAAGATACTTCTTGAAAGAAAGACCAACAGGAAAAATACAAAACAATATAGGCAGTCTGACTGACTACTACAGCAAGTTGTAGTTGCTCGCCCAGAACACATCAAGGCAAGTGGTCTGGTCCCCTCAGGGCAAACCCCCTTCTAAGACTGAGACTCAATGGGAATACATGAACAGACATGTGTTCTGACGGGTGACCTCATTGTCACCGATAAGCGGAAGTGAGGGAAAAACAGCAATGAGGCTGCGAGCTAAGTCCAACCACATTCAATACACTCCTGTGAACCCAGGTGGAGACCTGGTTGGCCAGCAGTTTGGTAAGACCTGGGGACTTCTCGGCCCAGAGTCAGTGACATAGCCACAGAAGACTAGAGTGGAGAAAGAAGTGTCCAGCTTATAAGAAGAGAGGGCATATGCACGAGAACACGCACACTTGCAGATAATACCCACTTGACCTGGCTTCAGTGGCTGGATGATCAGAGCTCAACCAGAAAAAGAAAGAAGAGGTAAAAAAAAAAAAAAAAAAAAAGAAATCTGATACAATTTGATGAACTTGACCTACCTATGGATGAAGTAGCTCAAAAGAGAGAACAAGTCTTTACATAGAGGATCATTCCCACCCCCTCCATATACAGAGTAGACAGGGATGGGCAACTTGGACACTGGCTACCCAAAATTGGGGCGCTACAAAGGCAAGAAGTGACTGGCATACAAGCTTTCAAGAGGGAGCCTAGATACAGAGGGCACGGAGGGCGGTAGAATCTCCACTGAGTAGTATCCAATCTGTTTGGGCGGGACTGATGAAAGGAGATGGGGATAGCACTCATGTGGTACAATAGTGAATAATTAGTATCATGACTGACTGTGAGGGTTGGAAATGTAAAGATAAATGTTTTGTAG